TCATGAAATCTTGATTTAAAATCCTTTAGGTAAGCCTAAAGTCAATCCATGCACGATCCGAACTTATTTTTTCCTTTAACATATCCAAACCAACATACAATTACTTAATTACCATATTTCTCAATCATGCAAAGGACTAAAGAAAAGATTTTACACAACTTACTTTAAAAAAATCTAATAAAATTTTGACGTAGTCTTCCAAGCAAATTGGACATTTCCCGATTATCAAAGACTCCATATACATTAAAAAAAAAAAAAAAAGCACATCTAATATACATAACACATAGACCAAGCATGCATAGTAGGTAAAATTGACAAAAAAATTTCGAATAGTGGTTTAGACCAACATGACTTCAATTGTCATGATTTTTAAACTAAGCAAGCAAACATAATATAATACATAAAATCGGCAAAAATGGTCCGAAATAAGGCTTGGATTGACATGATTTCAATCATTATGATTTTAGTTAAAACAATAAACAAGCATGCATGATAGATGAAAATTAGAGAAAAATAGTCCGAATTAGGGTTCGGACCGATGCTATTTCGAGTATTGTGATTTTCAATCAAAATGACACACAAGCAAATATTGGCATAACTTGAAAAATTCACATAATCAATCACATAAACATTAAACAACAATCAATCCATAAATTGACAATACAAACAAGCAAAATTAGGCATATCTAATCAATCACAATCAAGTACCTAAATCAATCAATTTATGCACATCGAGGTCGGTATTTGGCTCGGATAATTCATTTAAATTAAAACATAATCTCTATCCTTCTAGCTCTATTATACAGCATTGACACTACCTTATTTCTCTTTAATTTTAAGGATTTTTTACCCTTCAAGTTCGATAGTCTACAACCCCTCGGGTTCGATACGCTACGACGTATCTTGGCACATTTCATTAATCATTAAATAAATTTAATTTCGAGTGTTAATTTATATTTATTCTATGGATATATAAATTAAAATCTATAATTTTAATAACTTATCTAGCAATCAAATAATTATAGGAGTTGCTAAGATGTTATTAAAGCACATACCGATCAAAATTGGGGTCATTTCAGTCTTCTTCAACCCCAATAAAGATTGATTATTTAATCGATTGAGGAGGAAAAAGCGATCGCATGTTGAAAAACTTGGTGCATAGGTGTGTGGTGGTGCGATTGAAGTGGCTAAAACATGGATGCGGTGATTGCTAGTGGTGCTCGAGTAGCTAAAGTCGTTACTAGATGTAGCACGATGGGATAGAGCTGCTATTAGTGGAGATAAAATGGACTAGAGCTACAATTAGTTGTGTTAAAAGGGGATGGAGTTGCTATTGGAAGTGATAAAGAGAACAACAATGGGTAATTGATGATATGAGTTGATCGTTAGCGTCCTCGCTTTGGTTGAATTGGGAGGAGCGAGGCTACTAGAGAGCGATAGTGGCAAGAGTAGGTGAGGAAGGATGAGAAAATAGAGAGAGAAGAAAAGACTATTAGATTTAGCTTCTTTTTTTTTTTTTTAACAATGAACGCAACTCTATTACTATTCATAAGTGTTTGTCGTTGTTTAAATTTGTCAAAATTATGCCTTTTTTCCTCTTATTAATGATGGCATTATCCGTCGTTGAATTTAGCTTTCTTTTTTTAGCGATGAACTTAATCCATTACTATTCATAAGTGTCCATCACTATTTGAATTAGCCAAAATTGCTTCATTTCATCTTATTAGTGGCGAGAATGATTTGTTGCTGAATTTACCTTTTGTAGTGATGGATGTATTTTGCCATTATATTACAACTAAATAATAGGTTTAGCGATAAAATATTTTATGACCAATAAAAGAAAAAATGGCACCAAAATTAATGACAGAATTTACTATCCATGCTCAATACCGTTGCAAATTAGTTGGTAATCCACCACGAATTTAATTTCAAAAATATATTACATAATTCAACGATGGTAGTTTTCCGTCGTTAAATTTCTATTATAAAATGTCGGTATTCCATCACTAGTGACCCTAAATGTCCGAAAATTGATAACGAGTCATTATTCATTCACTAATCCATTGTTATGTACCGATAACTTCATGTTCATTGCTAATTTCTATCTCCATTCAAATTTTTTTTTTTTTTGTAACGATTGATATCCATAGTGTTTATCTAAAAGACCTATGTTTAAAGACGTTTTGCTTTCATAGTTCTTTAAGTCAAGATTCTTGCTTTCCCGACCTTGATTTGTAGCACTATCATATTTAAATTCATATTAATAAACATTCATTTTACTACCAAGTGAATAAGATCATATTTCACCAAATGGTATTTAACCGTATCAATCTCTTTTTACTTATGATTCGATACTTACGGTGATTGTAAGGATACCTTATCTTACTTTCGTCCATACTTTCAAGTTGACAAATAATAAATATAATAAATTCTTCAACTCTATTCAAGAAATCTTGATTTAAAATCCTTTTAGTAAGCCTAAAGTCGATCCAAACACGATCCGACCTTATTTTTTCCTTTTACATATCCAAATCAATAGATAATTATTAATTATCATATTTCCAAATTATGCGAGAGGACTAAAGAAAAGATTTTACATACATTTTTTTAAAAAAAAATCTAATAAAATTTTGATAGTCTCCTAAGTGAATTAGACATTTCCCAATTATCGAAGACTCCACATACATAAAAAATGACACATGACAAAGAGAACAACGATGGGCAATCGACGATATAGGTTGATCGGCGAGTGCCACTACTTTGGTTGAATTTGGGAGGAGCAATGGTCGCTAGAGAGAACGGTAGTGGCGGGAGTGAGTGAAGAAGGATGAGAAAATAGAGAAAGAAGAAAGGACTACTAGATTTAGTTTTTTTTAGCAATGAATGCGACTCTATTGTTGTTCACAAGTGTTCATTGTTGTTTAAATTTGTAAAAAATAGACCATTTTTCCTCTTATTAATGATGGAATGATCCGTCGTTGAATTTAGCTTTCTTTTTTTAACGACGAACTTAATCCGTCGCTATTCATAAGTTTCCATCACTATTTGAATTTGCTAAAATTACACCAATTTCCTCTTATTGGCTACAAAATAATCATCACTCGAATTTACCTTTTTTAATGAATGTATTTCGTCATTATATTGCAATAGAATAACGAGTTTAGCGATGAAATATTCTATCATCGATAAAAGGAAAAATGGCACCAAAATTAACGAAGAAAGTTACCATACATGTTAAATACCATTGCAAATTAGTTGGTAATCCACCACGAAATTTAATGCCAAAAATATATTATGCAATTCAATGATGGTAGTTTTACGTCGTTAAATTTCCATCATAAAATAGTTAGTATTCCATCACTAGTGATCCTAAATGTCCGAAAATTGATAACAATCATTACTCATTCACTAATCCATTATTGTATATCGATAACTTCATATTCGTGGCTAATTTCTATCTCTATGTAGTTGGTTTTTTTTTTACGGTTGATAGCCATAGTGTTTATCCGAAAGATCTATCTTTAAAAACGATTTGCTTTCATAGCAATCTTTACTTTAAGTCAAGATTGTTTCTTTGCCGACCTTGATTTTTAGCACTATCATTTTGAAATTCATATTAATAAATATTCATTTTACTACCACGTGAACAAGAAACAAAGATTATTTATTATTTGTCTCTTTTACCTTTATTATACTTTCTATCTAGTTCAAGACAAACTTTTATCAAAATTATTTGAATTTTGTACTTTTGAATTGTGTGAATTTTTTACTTTTTTATAAAATTGATAGATGAAATATTATCATAATATATTTTAACCATTCATGTAATGGTTAAAATATATTTTATATTCAAGTAATATATTAAATATAGTAAGTATAACTTTTTTTTAAAAGAAAAATAATAAATCTTATAGAGTTTTGAATCTGATTTGTATTCAGATTCACCTTTCAAAATCCGATCTGAATTCATAAGATTCATTTTAAATCATTTTATTAAAAAAATCAGATTTGGATATATTATAATTTGATATGAACGTGATCCGTTGACAACTCTAATTATAGGTTATCATTTCTCTCTAAATACTAACTTAGCTGGAAGATCTTCTAATCTACCATGTTGTTTTGCATATATTTCAGCTACTTTGATTACATCCACCATTAAATTTTATCATTACGACATTCGATAAAAAAATCACCCCATCACTCATCATCAATCGAGGTTCACCATGTCAAGAAAGACTAACGGCATTACATCATCAAGAAGACAAGGGGAAAAAAACAAACAAAAACAGTTGATTTGATTGGTTGACGATCTTAATAAGGCTGAATTCCACGTTATTTATCTGCAAGACCTGTCTTAAAAGACGGTTTGCTTTCATGCAACCTTTACTTTAAGTCAAGATTTTTTTCTTTTTCTTTTTTCTACATGATTTCGACTCGATGATGATTTTGACGATGATGGGAAAAGAGACGAAAAGTTTTACGGTAACAAATTTTTCTTTAATCAAATACTGATCGCACATTAGCGCCTACTATTCTGAATGCATCCATCTAGATTCTAGCTAGGTAGATTCAACAGGACTGCACAAATTGAAAACGATAGTAGCCCAAAATATGAATATATGCATTATTTAAGCTCGTATACATGTATAACAGTATCTATTAGAATGAAAAAAAAAAAAAAAAAAAAAAAAAATCATGTACAGATTTTGGGGTAAATCTATATCCTTGAAGAGTAAAGGACTTCCCTATCCTTGGGAATCAAGTACTCTTACCATTCTTCTGTCATGTATAACTCAAAGACAGAGTTCTATAATTATGGTTGCTGGTGAGCTCCTTTATACAGCAAAAAACTCACTCAAGTAACCATACAAATATATCATTTTTTAGCACCAAAAAAAAAAAACATGCAAAAATTTAAGGATCACACACTGAAGAAAGGCAAAAACAGAAAAAGAACGCCTAATGAAAACTTTAGCTCTCCATTGTTGCCATGCCCACTATCTCTTTAATTCTTGTTTACAGAGAGGGCAGCAGGATATAATTCGAAGCCATTGATCTACACACTTGAGGTGAAACATATGGGAACATGGCAATTGCCTAACTTCTTCTTTATCTTTATACTTGGCTAGACAGATACAGCATTCCTGTCAAATACGAGAACACAAATATAAGGAAAAAACTTCATTGGGAAGATGAAGATCATCTATAACATGTGAATTAATACTCTGACTCTACATGTATTTGCAAACTAGAGCTTACCAGATCTTCACTTGCAATGGTTGAATTACAATCAACATTACTGTGAAACTCCGAATTGATGTCAACTGCTTTGTAACTCCAACTTGGTAGACTGGAGATTTGGTCATCGGATGCCCCTTTCTCGGCAGATCCCATGCTCATGTTGTAACCAAGGACAGTGCTAATGAGCGGCACGCAACAACATAGCAGTAGAAACAACAGAAATGGAAATGAGTAACTGAGAGCATTCCAAGCAAGTAGAGAGATGCATAGCACATGGAGTTTCGGAGCACGGTGGTAAGATCCAAAGCGAGAATCAAAGACCCAAACATTACCCATTACAAACCATATTGCAAAGAAGAGTTCGAGTGAAGTCCGGCACTTGTGCATCAAAATTGAGTACCTGCAGATACTATATATCAATCAATAGGCATACGAATGACTACTAGAATGAATATTTTTTTATCTTTCTATCATATCAGCAACATGACAACCTATCACAGAAGTTATAATCTTGAAGGCAAAAGAAGCTTCATTTCTTTTTCTTCAACTAACTAGCTCTGTAATTCAGTCATTTTTACTTAACCTTTGATGTATTTCTATCTAATGAAATAAACGTTTTATCAGCCATGAAAAACTTTTCATGGCTGTATTGTATTATTTCAAAGTATATGGGAATTCTAGATCATGCAATGATTCCCAAACTATTTTCTCATCCATTTTTTTTTTAAATGGAAAATTACTCATTTAGCAAACTGTAGATTGACCAATGATATCCTGCCTCTTAGCTAAAACTGGTACCTGATTGGGGTAGGCATCAATAATTTCTCTCGATGCTGATAAGAAAGAAGAAAAATACTCTCCCAAGATTCAACCTACTGCAGGCGAATTCAGGTTTGATGGTAGTCAGAGTACCATTAGAAAACTAAAAGGAATGCTGATTTGACTTTTGTGACATTAAGTAGTTCCACTTAAAGGCAAAATTTGAAATAAAAGGATTTGCAATGGCCAGTAATTTTTATCCAAAGGCATCAAAATCACACATAAACGACAGTTTTTGGGTCATAGTGACTAAAATAAGCAAAAGAAAACTTACTGTTTCTCCAACAGCTAAATTTCAAGAGATTAAGAAGCACCAATTAATTCGCCACCCAATACCATGAAGAAAAGTTTTATTTGCTATATTAGAAAAGTCTCTGAGTACAGCCATAAGGAAATTCTAAATGCTATAACGATTCCGAAGCTATTTGCTAAATTATATAGATAATATGCATCCTTTTCCAGTTCTTCATGCTGCTGGAAATCTATTCCTTAACCGAAATTCATTTATAGCATGCTACTCGCTTCATATTATTCAATAACGCTTGAACACCTATAAATTTTCAGCATAGATGTAATAAAACTGTAGGATGAATAGCTTTTAACGAATTACCTGGATTCCTCACTGCCCCCTTGTTGTTCCAAATCAGGTAGGGCAAAACCATTGCCTTGAGTTGCGTTAATTTGCCGGTAACGCCCATAGAGCATCAGCAGACTAAGGACACAGCCAATATTATAACCAATAATCCATATTCTCACAGGCCAAACTGGCTTCTCTGCCTTGGAAATAGCCAGGGTGAACGAGGTGATACTTATTTGAATGACCAAAGCTACAAACTCCAGCATCATCCAAGTGCTAGAATTGAAAGGATTAGACCCAAGATTAGACCTTGAGCCATTCTGGTAGTGGAATACTCTTCTCAAGAAGGTGAACCATCTTGCTCTAGAAATTCTCATCGCTGTTCTTATCAATAACGATGAAGGGGGAGTGCGAGGAGACCTGTTTCTGAGAGACACAGTTCCATGCTCTTCTCCTGCTGGAGATGCCGCAGGACTTGAACTACAGAACGAATTCATTGGAAAGGTGTACCGCGTATTCATTGGGAATGTTTTAGACAGAAACTTTCAGATACAGGCTTTCGGTTGCTCAAATAATGAGATAAGATTGGCTTATCAATAAGACTTAGTTGACAAGTAATGACATGATCTTATATGAATAATGATATGGGGTTAACTGGAATTGGAATATTACCAGCATGAATTCTATGGTACTAATATAGAAATCACAGATGTTATCTAGTATTGAGTATCAGATAAAGTAGACTACCAACAGGTTTTGATTGAAAGCTTCAGATTTCAGCAAGGCAAAAAGGCAAACACCATCAGGGTTTGGCCAAAGACTTCGTTGGCTCCGATTTCTTGAAAGTAGACAAACACTGTACTCTGAAAACCTCAAACTTGAAGAAAAAACAAACTATATATAGTTTATGCGTGTTTGATATAGCTTCTCAATTGACCAACACTGCCTGGTAACTTTACGACTTTCAAAACTTGAAGGGTTTTATGAATAAGGTTCACTACATGAACAGAAATTTACTCTAAAAAAAACCTTGGCTTTAATCAATCAAGACCACGAAAACACACACAGAAGAAAAACTGAAATGGGTATTTAAGCATGGACTGATAATCAATAGGTACCAAACACAAAGAAATGGTGTATATGGAAAGAAAGAGCAATATAGAAGAAGGAAAATAAAGAGATGGCTGTGGAGTGTGAATATGACAGGAAGGTGAAGGTTGGGTTTCAGATGGTGACCAAGAATCAACTGCAAAACCCAAAACAGCTTTGCTTTGATTCCAAGAAAATATTTTTTGGATAGAAAGCTAACTGTTGGCCTAACTTCTCTCTGGTTTTTGTTTATGAAGCAAGCAAAGCCACCTGAAATAGATCATCAACTACCTGCTTCTTCAACTACAAATATTTCCCTTTCATTTCTCTCCAACGCAAAATAATTGAACTTCAAAGAGTCGGTCTGCTACGGCTTATTTCCTTAATTTCTTATATTTAAACTTGAGCGAGTTTATTGTATTTAAATCTTGGATCAGTAATGAAGAAAATTTATTTTTATTTTTTTCTAAGTACAACAAGTCTAGTTAATATAAATCCTGTATCATTTTAGTTTCGATGGACATCTAAGTTGATTTAAAAATATCCTTGAAAAAAAATACACAAAATGAAAAATTTTATAATACATGAGGAATAACTAATGATATGTACAATAATTATTTTTATTTGGAGGAGAGAGATAAATATATAAAATTATATCTAGACCTACAAAAAATGATAAAAAGATTTTCATGTTTGCTCATTTTTTTTTTAATTTTCTCTCTCCTTTTTTCGTGTCTATCTTGTTCCTCTAAGTAAGTTCATGAAATAATTATTATACATGTCACTAGTTATTCATTGAGTATTATAAAATTTCTCACACAAAATAATTAAAGGAGTATGTTATAAATTAGTCACTTTCGTTTTCAAAAATAAACCAATCAATGTTTTTTATTTTAAAAATAATTATTTAATATTTACTTTTTTAATTTTGTTAATAATTAATCTTTTCATTAGTTTTTCATTAGATTGATGATTTTTTTTTTAAGCTACACTTCTATTGATGTTTTATTTTTCTTCTTCATCCATCTATTTTCTCTTTCCTTAATGAAAAATCAAATGAAGAGCAATTTGAGAATGAAAATCACTAATTTAAAAAAAAAAAAAACTAACGAAAGAACTAAATTATTAATAAAATTAAAAATTATAGGACTAAATGATTAGTTTTTAAAAGAAAATGGATTAATTAATCTGTTTCTCTAAACAAGAGGGACTAATTTATAATTTATTCATAATTAAGATGTCTCTTTTGGGCTTACTTAATTAGATAGATAAGAGATTATTATTGACGTGTCGTGTTGATTTTTTGTTTATGAAAGTGTTAAGGTGAGAGATTTTGAATTATGGCGGGTACAGTGACTGGGGGATTCTAAATTTATGATAGGCGGTCGGCCACCTAATCCAATTGGCGGCTCTCACCGTACAAGAGGAGCAATGGCCCATTTTTAACCCCCTTTGTTTTGTCTCTTATTTGCATTTTGTTAGGAATCCGAAAGTCCTTCTCTGTGGAAGCGTCTGCTCTTCCAAAGTTTTGCCATGATATGATGATATCAGCCTACAATCCTTTGATATTTTGGCTCCCATGACCTATTTTGTCATTTTCAACATAAAGTAAAGAAGAAACCGCAAAAGGCTTGAGTGAATGCATGAATTCCGGTATGAATAGCTTGTTTATGATATAATCCGAAGAGACTTAATCTTAATATGACAGTTCAATTAAGAATACCTTAATTATTAAAAAACTAACAAAAATAATAATAAATCAATGAGTCCATATTGGATTTCCATAAACTTATTTCTATAGGTTTAATGTTTTTCCTTTCTTTAAGATACTTGAAAAGTATGATTGATCATTTGATTGTGATTAATATCGTTCAAGGATGTTAATTATTCAGAATTATTATTTTGCCAAAACACAATTCAGAACTCAATGGGAATTGAATCCTTTTTATTTCTAAAGGAAAATTAATAAGATAATTAGATAATTTATTTTTTTAATTTGCAAGAACATTTTAAGAATAAAAAAATAATTATATATAAATTACATGATTAATTTTGATGATTGTAACTAAAATATTATCAAAATGGTGAATTATAAATTTAATGTATATATATAAATAAAATTGATTCAATTAGAAAGATAAAAACAATTTTATTATATAAAAATAAATTAGGCCATTAATATTCCTTATAAAGAAATTGGTGTTTCAGATCATTATTCTTGCCAATCTACTTCTATGAATTCGATTGACCCAACATTTAGCCATAGATTTTGGTTCGGGTTCAAGGTTTCGGGGACAATATATATGATTAGTTTTTTATTTTTTTCACGGTTGTCTAGATCAAAAGTATTCTCATTAACAAATGTTAAATATTATTCGTGGCATTGCATAAACATTAATTTAGAAAGAGCCCACTAAAGTTTGTTTATTCTTCTTTTTTTGTCCTTTTCCTAATTCTCTTTTTATTGTTACAGCTTCATGTCTCCAAAATCAATAAAGGAGACGACAACAGGGGTTATAAAGTTTATGAAACACCTTAACTTTTAGCTTGTCTCCGTTAATTCCATCAAATTTCATGACATTTTTCATCTTCTCTTTCATTCATTTCCATCCACAAACTAATGGAAATAATAATATGACATAATTTTATTAAAAACACTTATGCTGCATCATATACAATCCAAAAAAAATAGCACAATCATCACACCAAAAATCAAAGGCATTAATTTTTTTTTACAAATTCATCAAAATTATAACACTAGAATATAAAAAATTAACTTAACTAACAAACTATTGATTTATATCACTTTACATATTATTATGGATTTGAGATTGCTTTAGAATTACATAATTGTTATTGTCGTCATTGTTTCGTTATCATTACTATAGTTATTGTCGTCATCTGCTCCATTAATACTTTTTTTTATATATAATTGTTATTATTATTATAATTTTTGTTGTTTTTGCTATCATTATGATAATTGTTGTCATCTCGTCATTATTATATTATCATGATATTTTTGACATCATTACTCGTTAAATACCATCAGATTTGTTTTATATAAAATGATTTATAAATAAAATATTTTCTATTTCTAAAATTTTTTACACAATTGATGCTCGTACAATAATTTTTGTTCCCTATCTATTCAAATGCACGTCGCTAACCTTTAAATTAAAAGTCATACACATCAAAAGATACTGGAATTAAAAACCATTTAAAAACTGAATGAATTTTACTCGATGTTGGATTTCTTGGCTGACTTTTATTTGACCAGAATTTAACAACACATGTCAAGATTTGATTCACAACACTGTGGCATGGAAAGATAGGTGGCGATCGGAAGAGGATAAAATATAGTAGGTTACTTCGCAGACCGAAACTTGAATGCCCCAGGCAATATACTGAAGCCACGTGTGTCATAGTTGAATGATTGACTAGCTGATCATTTTCAGAAATATACGTGTAGATAATATACACGTGTATGATAGTAACATACGATAGGAAGATAGGAAAGTTTGACATGTTTCTCCTGATGGGATGACGTGTGAATTTAATTTGGGAAAACTTAAAGTTTGATTTTTTGTATAAAATAAATGCCGAAGAGAAAGGATGAGTCTAATCTTTGCTTACACTCAATGCTCACACGCAGCATGTATTCATTCATTCAGCTCTATAAGTTTCAACGCTTAATTTGGTGGTGATTTGTAGCGTAGAGTTTGTTTGCTTGATTTGTAGGGGTAAGGGTAGGGGTTGGGCGGTTGGGCCATCATGTGTGGTAGAGTTTGTTTCTCAGGCAGGCATCAACGTTGGCCAGCCAGCCACATTTCATGATCTCACTACTGGAGATGAAAGCTGCTGCTTTTGCATCGTCTTTTCCTCTTCTTGATTCAGATGTTTCCTGTTTTAAAGTTGGTGTGGTTACCAACGTACCACGCACTAAACTAATTAATACACATATTCCTCATATTTATTCTTCTATATTATACAATCAAATAAAGGATATTTGTTCTTATGATTAATTACATATGACTTTTTCCATTATTTTTTTCTCTTACATGACAGATGACATTTTCTGTTAAATATATATATATATATATTCAAAATAAAATGTATCTATTCTTACATTGACATGTAACTTTTTTCATTAATTTTTCTCTCACATGACATGTCATATTTTATGTAAAAAAAAAACTTGGATAAATAAATTAATCTATCTATATATAATACTATGAGTTTTCTATATATATATATATTCTAATTGTCTTATATTTGTATTTGATTTTTAAAAAAATATTCAATTTGTTCTTTTGATCAATTTTTTTCGATCATTGAATTTTTTTTTAACCGAAATACTCTTAAGTTAAACATAAAAAAATAAAAATTTTTAAAAATAGAACATACAAGTCATCCGACTTAAGCTTTTTTTTTTTTTTTTTGTATTTCAATAAAGGGTGTTTCAATTAAAAAATTATCAATTATTAGAAAAATTAATGAGAATGACAGATTGAATACTTTTTAAAAAAATTAAGAACAAATAGAATATAACTAGTTAGATATCCGCGTTGCGCTAGCGATCGGACAACCATTATATATACTTGGGTTAACAATTCGTATGGTATGATGTAAGTACAAGTTTTATTTTTGGAGATTAATGTAGATCGAATCTATATATTAAGCGAACTTGTTTAATTTAGATATATTTATTAACAAAATAATTTATAATATTAGTATAAAAATTTGTATTTGAATAATTAAGATGTTCTTTCAAAAGATTAATTAAATTATTTTGTTTAAAAATACAAATTTTAGAACATGAAAAAAAAATAACAAATAATTGGTGTCATGTATGTAGATTTAGAGTATATAGAATAAATAAAAATGACACACAAAAAAAAACTCATTGAAATCGCATGGAATATATCGAAGTGAATATATATATATATATATATATATATATATATATATATATATATATATATATATATATATATATAACCAAATAAAACCCGTAAAATTTTTAACTAATTATTAATTTTTTAAAAAGACAATTGATCAAATTATTTTTTTAATCGATTATTATTATTTTAAAAAATTAACCGAAATTATTTAAAACACACTATTAACTCTCTCTTTCATCGAATTTATATATACAACTACGCTACTCATTTAAAAATCATAAAAATAATCAATTGTATGAATTATAATAATATATTTTTTAAAAAATAAAACAATCACGTTCTTAAATTTTATTTCAAAATCAATATATAAAAAAATCAAATTTATTAACAAATAAAATTATATAAAAAATTAAAAAATTAATTTGATAAGAATTTTAATAAGAAACAAACAATTGAAAAAATAAATTTTAAGCAATAAAAATAATATAATCAAATATATGTTTAAACGAAAATTTTTAAAAATATTATATATATTCTATTGCAGTTAAATTGTCCATAAAACCATAAAAAAAAATTAATGATTTTTTTTTTGTATTTTTCCATCTAATTTCATGATAAAAAAAATATAAAAATAAATTATTACAAGAAAAAAAAAAAAAAAAAGAAGGCAAACGGGACTGCTTGTCTAGGCCTACCTGAGCCTACTACCAAGGCTGCTTCTCCAGCAGCCCAGATCTTAAAAAAAATAATAATAATAATAAAATAAAATAAAATAAAATGTTATAGTAAATAAATAGTGACAATTCTAGATCTTTTATTTTTTTTATATATATATATATATATATATATATATATATATATATATATATATATATATATATATAATTTTTTTGAATATTATATAAAAATAAATTGAACTATTTATTAAAAAAAAAAATTCTCTAATATAACCTGTGGTATTTAAAATTTTTTTTTTTTTTAAATATACTAAGCTATGGGCGCTCTTTGTTAGTATTTTGTTAAGTGCAACGGGTGGCCGTCATCACAAGTTTCAGGTTTATAAGGCTTTCACCTAGGGATTCATTAATATAGTTTGACGCTGTGGTTTCTTATCACGACTTGAATAGATGATTTTTTATTAGATTAATAGTCCTGGATGTCAATTCCTGTTTGTTTGTTTTAATAGTCTCTTTTTACTAATTTTTTCATCAATTGCATCCTTTTATATAAATGATATTTTAATTTCGTCTCTCCATCTAAATTTTTAGATAACCATGTCAATTTTTAACGACAAATCCATTGAAAGTTGTCAAGTAGCAATTTTTTTTGAAAAAAAAATCCCTAAATATCCCTCTTTTTCTTTGCCTTTGCTTTTGTTCCTATGTCATGAAAAAAATTTCATAATTTTTTTCTTAGTTTGGATTTGAAATAAATTTTCATAATAAATTTTTGAAAAATAAATTGTTCCTTCCTGTACATAAAATTTTTTCTTTCTTTGTTTGGATTTGAGAGAGAGAAAAAGAGAGATAAAATTAATTATTTATTTCTATACATAAAGGTAGAAAAAAAACGCATTTTGTGATTTTTTTTTTTAGAAAATAAAATTTTTTCAAAAAATAAAAATAAAATTACCATGTGTTAGCATCTATGAGTTTATTATCGAAAATTGACATCATTATCCGAAAATTTTGATGAAGGATGACATTTAGATGCAAATACAAGTAGAGGGATGAAATTAATGGAAAAATTAGTAAAGAGATATCATTAAGATAAACGAAATAATAGATGAACATTATGGACTAGTAAACCATATTTTATTTAAATAAATGCCAAACCCTATATATATATATATATATATATATATATATGATGTATTTTTTTTGTAATAACTAAATGTCAAAATGGCAATAAAAAACAAGCATTGTTGATTTGAATAAGGGCAAAAAACTTAATGGAGACAACTATAGCATATGAAATGTTAAAATACATTATGTCCTAGAAGAGCAAAAGGCTTTGGAGGTGATTAATCATGAGATGATTAAGCCTTAGCTTGATGATGGGAACAATAATGCCCAATATCGTCAAGATATTACTACTTATCATGCTTGGAATAAGATAGATTCCACTACAAAGGGAATACTGGTCGGTTCTATGAATGATGATCCGGTTTTCAAGTACCGAATTATTCAATCGCTTATGCCATTTAGGAAACACTAAAGGAAGAGTTTAGAGGGACCATTATCTGCAAACTAAGGTAGTGGATGATCAAGTTTGAAACTTATAAAAAGATCTCAAACAAATTCATAAAGCAACACCTAAAACACATGTAGAATATGATTACAAAATTGAAGCAAGCTAGGTATATCTTGATAGATGAACAAGCAAGTGCATGAACTTATCCAATCTCTTCCCGATAGTTTTGGAAGCATAGAAAAATGAACATAAACCACAATGAGAATATCATGACATTTGCCGATGTTGCTTGCCGATTGAGCTGGAAGATGAGTGTTTTAAGGTAGCACAACCAAATACGCGAATATATTTGGTCGAATCTAGCTTAATAAAGCTTTGAGCTTTAAATGTAAGTGGCACGATAATAAGAAAAAGAAAGAGAGAAAAAGAGATTGGACGGGGACCAAAGAAGAGACAAGACCAAGTTGACTACTACAACTATGGCAAGCTAGGTCGTTTCATCAATAAATGCACTAGCCCAAAGAAAGTATTATCTTTAAGCATCTCTTCTATTAATACTTGTGTTTCTAGTACTATAATATTCACCGAATCTCATCTTTTGTGGAATGTAGACTCAAAAGCCACGATCATATAGCTAGAGACGAGAGATGCATTTGTAGAATTTCATCAAATTCTAAGTAGGATGTGATGAATATATATGGATAACGATATGAGAGCCGAACTATTTGGACTTGGCACATACAAGTTGAACTTGCAAGAAAGAAAGACCCTATATCTATATGAAGTCCTTTCGTTCGAGAGATTCAACAAAATTTAGTCTCTATAGTTGTTTTGTTAAAATTAGGATATAATTTATACTTTTTTTTGTAGTACTTTAGACATATTTAATGATTCTATTTATTTAGAATATGATTATATCATGGATGGTTTTATGGTGTTAAACACTAAATATTCTAATATGGATAGTAATGTAGGCTTTTCTATGTTGACTACTTATAACAATGATAATCTAGAAATTAATCTACGACATACTAGATTAGGACATATTAGGCAAGACAGAATGAAGAGATTAGCTCAAAATGGTCTTTTAGGATAAATCACGAGATTGACTTGCCCACTTGTGAATATTATTTATAAGAAAAATCAATTAAAACACCATTTGGTCAAGCGCAAAGAGCAAAGTTTCTTTTGCAACTAATACATTTGGACATTTGTGGTCCCGTGAAGATAAGGACTAGACATGAAGTATCCTATTTTATTACTTTTATAGATAACTTCATTTGATTCAATGATGTTTTTTTTTATCTCCTACAAATTGAAAATAGTAGATTTCTTCATTAAATACATCAATAAGTTTAAGAATCAATTAGATAAAAGAATTAAAACTTTAAAAATTGATAAAGGTCATGAGTATCTATCATATCAATTTAAGGGTTTTTGTAATGAAAAAGGAATAACTAGGCAACTTGTGATTCGTAGCACGTTGCAACAAAATGGTGTAGTGGAGCATAGGAATTGTACATTATTAGATATGGTTAAATCCATGATGGTACATGTTAATCGTCCGATTCAATTTTGAGGAGATGCACTAATGACTAAAACTTATATACCTAATTTTGTGTCTTCTAAATCGATAACCTATACAGACTTATGAGTTATAGAAGGATCATAAGTCTAATTTTTATTATTTATGCCTCTTAGCATCTACTACACATGTTCACAATACTTTCCATAATTATGATAAATTGAGGCCTGGATAAAAGAAATATATCTTTGTAAGATACTTCAAATACTTAAAGGGCTATGTTTTCATTGGTGAGGAATCTCATAGACGAGCCACTAAAA